CAGAGGGCCCATTCCAAATCCCTCCCTCCCCAAAGACTGGCAGTGGATGCTTCCTTCCAGGAGAGTTCACAGCTGGGAAGGAGACAAAGAGGCCTGAGGGACCCCATGTCAGCAGAGGGCCTCGAGGCTGTGGGGGCCCCTAGGACCTGTGGATGGAGCACCCACCAGGGAGGTGTGACAGGGCACACCATTTATGCTCTTGTGACTTTGGGAAGTCACGGGCCCTTCATGACCTCAGTTTTGCCTCTGTAGGTTACAGTGAATCCTCTCTGTCCTCCCTGCCCTTTGCCCACTATAGATTTGTGTGGCCAGAGAGTGCCTTTGGGATGCGTAGATCGCTGCACTGACATAAGAGACTTGGTGTACTCTCCGGCCCTCCTTCAGCAATCAAAGACTGAGACTATCTAAAGCATGGAAACCCTCACGTCCCTCTCATAACCCTACCCCCAGGTTTTAGAGGAAATCAGAGGTTCCAAGATGCCATATCTCACATGGGGCCTGTCATTCTACACTTCCACAGAGCCCTGTTAATTCATAGGAAAACTAGATTTATGGATCCCTAGCAGGTCAAAGTGGAAAGAGGTCATATTCAACTGTTTGATATTATGAAGGGGAAACAGAGGCTGGGAGGAAAGGGGAGACTAGGTCAAGGCCACACGGAAGGCTAATAGTGAGTCTAAGACTTGAACTCAGCCCAGCCTTGAAGAATGGATCTGGACATGATCTAAACTGGAAATTGGGCCTGAGTCTTGATTCTGGACCCAGCACTTTGCCCTGGACCTGTTCACAGGTATTGAAATTTGAACTCGGACATGCAGTTGTCCTGGTTAGCAGACCTGGACCTATAACCTCAGACAATGACCTTGGACCTGGTCCTATACCTGAAGTTTGACCTAGGCATTGGACTTGGACCTCAGCGCTGTACCTGGATGCTGGACTGGATGTTGGACCTTGACCTAGGCTTTGAACCTGGGCCTCTGACATGTCTTTAACCCAGACCTTGTACCTGGACCAAGGTCAAGATACCAGGGGAAGGGGTGGTTATAGAAGACTCAAATGGGCCTGCTGTGTGTCCATGGGCACCTCCACAGCCTTCTCTGTGCTCACTCTTCCAAAAGATTGGGGAAGCCCTTTTGCACCTCTGCTCCCCAGAGGAACTTTCTGAGGTGTGGAATGGAAGTGTGGGAGCTGGGGACATTGGGCTGGGCTTCTGGGCCTGGCCTGGAGCGACTATCTGGCGCCATCAGAGGGAGTGAGAGGAAGTGGGTGCTGGTTTAATGTGGTCAACTAGATAAGCCCATAGAAGTAGGAGGGTTTCCTCAGCCTGCTGGAGGAGGCTTAATGTAGCTGCAGAGGGCAGACAACTGTGTTATTGGATTGGCATTGATCCCTCATCTGCCTGGCTTGGATGTACTCTGAGAGGGCATGAGGGCAGGATGGGGCGGAGATGCAGAGGAAGGGGGGCCTGGCTCCCAGCTGGGGTTCAGAGTTAAGGTGGAGGGAAGCAGACACTCCAGAAGATATTCTTGGCAGGGGCCCATGGAGACCACTGACATGCATATGGGTGGCTGCCTTCTCTGGGGTGGCTGAGAGTCCCAGCATCCCTCAGGATGAAGGCCTGGTCTGTGGGGAGGGCCTGGTGGAGTTGGAGGGTGAGGTTAGCAGAGGGTTAGAACAATGTGAGTTGGCATCTCCCAGAAAGACTGAGTCTGCTCAGAATCACCCAGGGGAGAAGAGGGGAAGGGAAGGCAGTGGAGGAGCAAGAGAGGCATCTTATTGGAGGGAACAATGAAATTAGATCTGTTCCCATTAGTCAGGGAGCTCTGCAGAGAGACCTGGTGCTTTCCTCATTTTGGGGGCTCCGCTTCCCTAATTAGGGGTTCTGTGGCTTAGGGGGACCCTGGATCACAGACACACTTGCTGCACCCTCTGCTCTGCCCAGTGGTGGAGGCTGAAAGGGTGTAGGAAGGCAAAGAAGAGCTTTGCTTGTGTGTGTGTGTGTGTGTGTGTGTGTGTGTGTGTGTGTTTGTGTGGGAGGAGGAGGAGTCCTCCAGGAGTTCTCCAGCATTCTCAGGCATTCCCAGAGCTGGGGTACACCTCTTTAATTTGGGGTTCTGCGTCTTTATCAGCTAGGAGCTTGTGGTTTCTCTGACCTCCACATTCACAGGCTCGCCCGGCCCCTGCTCCCCCCACCCAGGTTTCCCTTCCACCAGCCTCATCCTGACCCTGCAGCCTGAGCTGTAGGAATGGCTTGTAAGAAGATCTTTCTAATAACTGGAACTATCTCCAGCCCCAGGCCTCCCCCTCCCTCCCTCCCTCCCTCCCTTTCTTCTCCTCCCTCCCTCTCCTCATCTTCCCCCCTCCTCTCTTTCTCCTTGTTTACCCCGCACACTTACACACGCTGAGAGAGAAAAACGTCGGCTCAGCAATTTTTCACACTTCCCTCAAATGCTCAGCAAGGTTATTTCCGGCAGAGCGGAGACAACGGGCCACCAGGAGCCGGCGGGCTCTCAGCAGACCCCTGGCACTCTCCACCCACCCAGGGAATAAGGGATCCCTCACTGCCCAGTCTGGCCACACCCCAGGGAGGAGAGAGGCCCCTGAAAACAGGACAAGGCAGACTTTGTATTTCCCAGTTATAGCTAGGCTTGGTCTCTGGCACTGACCATCCACTGCAGACACTGCCAAGGTGGCCAGGCCAGGGTGCCTGTCCTCACCATGGGGTAGCCTACAGAGACCAAAGCCAAGAAAAATGCCTGATCCGAGAAATGCTGCCACCCTCAGCCAGGTGGTGTATGTTCAGCGGAGCCCTAAGGAAACCCTGACAATGGCCTCTCAGCATCCTGTTAGACCCCTGCACAGGCATCTCCAGTGCCCCACACTCCATACTTGACCTTCAGAAGCTGAGGTTGTCAAAGTTGGAAGGATGCTTAGTTTATGCCATCAAAACTCTTTCACTACTGGGTACGGTGAGGACCAGAGAAGGGAAGGCACTTGCCCAAGGTCACAAAGCAAGTGAGAGATGTAGAGCCCAGGCCTCCAAGTTTCAGGTGAGGCTTCTGGCTATCAGGACAGCCTCAGGATTCTTGAGAGGTCAGGGAGTTGGTCTGGAGCCCCATGGGGAAAGGGACAAAGACAGGTGATTCTAGGGTGTTAAACCCGGTGGAACCTCCACAGAAACACCCTGCTGGTGGCTCTGCACCCGCCCTGCTTCCCACTATTCACTCAGGGGCTCCTTTCAAAGCTTTTTTGGACTGAATTCAAGGCAAGGCATTGTCTTGCCTCCCTCCTGAGGAACAGCCTGCAGTTTTGGCTGTGCATGGGAAATTCTCTGGGCTTCTCTGGGTTTCCTCAGCTGGCCTGGGGACAGGTCCAACGGGGCTTCAGGGGGTGGAATCTCAGAGCTTTGTGTCAGTCCCTTAAGGGACCCATATCCCAAGCTTGCAGATATTTCAGTTTCTACCAGCTTTGAGCACACAATCCCCAGCTTTGGCATGGCCCCAGGTCCACCCTCTGTCCTGCCAGCCCTCAGCCCAGCTCGGCCATGACCCTGGGCTTCTGTCCTCCTCCTCAAGAAGCCCTGAGGTCAAGAAAAGAGGACAGTAGAATAAGGGACATGTGGGCAGAGGAGAAGGGTTTTCTGTTAAGGATCTGGGGGAAGCCAGAGGATGAGGGGCTGTAGCTGTATCCCTGATTACTCTATAACTTCTTTGACCTTGATGAGGTCACAAAGCCCTTTGCCCAGCACTCTCTACCTGGTGTGGCAGAGTGATGGAATGTGGGTGAAGTGCTTGGAAATCCCAGAGGTGGAAGCCCCCACCCTCCCAGGCTCCTGTGTTTGCCATCTCAGTTCCCCCCTCATTCTCAGCGCTTTCTTTCCTCCTCTCTCTCTCTCCCCACCCCCCATCTCTCTCCCTCTCTCTCTCTCTCTCTCTCTGTCTCTCTCACACACACACATACACACACACACACACACACACACACACACACACACACACACACTAAAGCTGCCACATGTGATGTCAGATCTCTCACTACCAAAGGGACACCTCCTCTCCAGACACCTGCCCTGGTGGGGGCCATAAGGGGAGAACCCTTTTGTGATCCCCTTGGTGGAGGATGAGATCCACAGAAGCAGTCTCCACTTCTCCCTGCCCTCCAGAGATCACCCCCTTCTGCACCTGAATGACCTCTCTTGTCCCCCAAACCCTTGTTCCTGCAGGAACTTGTTCTGAGAAGAGATGGTGTGTGTGTGTGTGTGTGTGTGTGTGTAGCAGGGAGGGGGCTTAAAAGGAGCAGCAGGGTTGGCTCTGGAGGGGGCTGAGACGCTGGGGAGGGGAGGGAGTGCAATCCCGGGGACCAGGAGCTACTTTGGGGGAACCCCTCCCAGAAATCCCCTTTTTCTTGCAGTCCCCAGGACAGGCCCAGCCTTTGGCAGGCATGTGGCTGAGGGTAACAAAAGAGTTATTGAGAGAGGGGGTCTGAGAGCACTTGTGTGGCATCAGCGGGGGAGCAGGTTTGAAGGGAGGGAGGGCGCCCCCAGCCACCCCCAGGGAGCCAACCCTGTCTCTCCAGGGACTGAACATCCAGGGCTCTTTACCTTCCCCCTACCCAGGCAGCCAGCTTGTCTTCCTCAACTGGAGAAAGGGGACCCTCAAACTGCCTGGTGCCTTAGTCTCCAGCACGGGTCCCTCATGAACTGCCCTCTCTCTGTGTTCTCTGGCCACCCCCTCACTCTAGCCCTATTTGAGGGCCACAACTTTCAAAGTCCCGGCTGGCGCGTGGCTGCGGGATGGGCCGACCCCGCGACTTTCCCTTTGTACGACCTAGCCCCTGCCCCGCCCGCACGGCCCTTGGAAAGCCCGGGAGGCGCACAAGGCCAGAGAGATCTCCTCCTGGGGTTTCCTGTCTCGCGCCCCTCCTCGTGGCCCAAGTTGGGGAGGGCCCCAGCTCCCCTCCCCTCTCCTCCCAACACCCCGCAGCCCCCCGGTCCCACTCACCGTTGTCCCCGGGAGGCCCCCGGGAGCCAGGCAGCACGTAGGCTGTCTCCAAGGGGTGGTAGGTGGGGGCCGGCACCCCGCTGCACTGGAAGCCGTCCCCTTTGATCTTCTTTACCAGGAAGGAGCGCGGCATGGTGCGACTGGCGGGGGGCTCGGCGGGGGCACTTGCGTGGGGCTCCGGTGGGGGGAGGCGGCCAGCCGGGCGCGATTGGCTGTCCGCGCGGGTTTTCAGCACTGGACAGCTCCCAGCGGGCGGGCGGGCGGGCGGCCGTTTGGAGCCGGCCCGGGTGGCGGCGGCCCCGGATCGGGCTCGGGCTCGGGCTCGGGCTCCCGCTCGGGCTTGGCGGCGGCGGCGCGCAGACAGGGGATCGCTGGAGCTGTGCTCAGCACTCCGGCTGCCGGCTTTATATGGGACGCAGGCTGGAGGAGATCAGGTGGTCCCCTAGCAATGGAACTGTTCAGCGCTCTAATCCATCAAATGTCCCCCAGGACAATCGCTCCGCACACGTTCCCCTGAACCGGCGGCGGTGGGGGCAGGCCAGGCGCAGGGAGCAGCGAGCAGGCAGGAGGGGAGAAAGTGAGGGCGAGAAAGGCGCAGAGACAGAGAGAGACGGAGAAAGGGGAGTGAGGGGGGCGGGGAGAAGAAGAGACTCGGAGAAAGACAGAAAGAGACATACAGGGAAAGAGAGACGCACACGCTGAAAGAGGTAGAAATAGAAGCAGAGAGACCAAGATAAGGACAAAAAGACACAAGAGAGAAACGCAGAGAGAAGAAAGACAGAGGTGGAGAGAAGTAGCAATACACACACACACCCACAGGAGGAAAAGAGAAATCCGGGCACACAAAAAGGAAGCCCCCCAGGGATGCAAAGAAAGGGAAGAAAAGTGCAAAATAGAGGGAGAAGCCGAGGGGAACAGAGGGAGAGCGGTCCGGAGCAGGCGGGGTTCAGGCACATGGGGCCACGGGGAAGGGGATGCAAAGAAAAGAGTGTGCACTGGCCAGCAGAGACTCTCCCGCCTCGGGTCCTCTCCCTCTTCCCCAGTTCTGAAGTGGCCAGTGTGGACGCTCAGCTTTAACTAGAGTAAGTCTCCCCTCCCCCCTGCTCGGGTTCCCACTGGAGCCCCCTGTTGGGTTTGGGGTTCAACTTTCTTCCAGAACTGGTGGGGGGAGCAAGTCCCCACGCTGATGCCTGGCCTCGCTCAGTTGGTCCTGTTCCGGTGCCTAGCTCAGGCGGGCGCTGCAAGAGGAAGTGAAAATCGTCCAGTAATTAATTTTCCTGCTGCCGGGGGGTGGTGGTTTTGACACATCCGAGACTGTGTCTTTCCCTGAAGCGGGGAGCAGACAATAGAGACACGTGGACTGGGAAGGGAGAGGAGGGAAGGGAGGGGGAGCGGGGCTCCTGCTGGAACTCTTTGCAGGTCAGCTCCTTTGTCTCTAAAAGGAACTGAGCAGAACCTCCCACTCCCAGTCCGACCCAAACCTGGGGGAGCCCCCATATCTTGGCAGGATCAAGGAGCAGGAGAGCTCAGCCCCCTGCCCAGACGCTGCTGGGCAAAGCCCCATGGTGGTAGATTAGCTTCAGCAAGTGTGGGATGGCCAGTGCACAAGAGTCCTAGAATCAGACTCTAGGAATGCCAGGCTCTCACTGTCAATGGCTTTCTGTTTATGGGATGCAAGGCTGGTGGAGTGGAGATGTCCTTATGGGACTGGGCCATCCAATACTAGTTTTCAGGCTAAGACCTAGAGAGGGTTTGGAGTTGCTTGAGGTCATGTGGTGAGTCAGCAGCAATTGTCAGAGACCTCAGTGACCTCCGGGTACCACTGAATCTGGGCCTATCATGGTCCTTGAGGTGTAGCCCAGAAGTCTCAATAAAACTCAGGCCTTTGGTGGTGGCTCAAGCCTGTAATCCTAGCAGTTCGGGAGGCTGAGGCAGGAGGATCACTTGAGGCTAAGAGTTTGAGACCAGCTAGGGAAACATAGTAGGACCTCATCTCTACAAATAAACCAGGTGTGGTGGTGCCCACATGTGGCCTAAGCTACTTGGGAGGATGTGGTGGGAAGATGGCTTGGGCCTGGGAGGTTGGGACTGCAGTGAGCCGTAATGGCACCAATCTGTTCCTGCCAGGGTGAAACAGAGACCCTATCTCTAAAATAATAATAATAATACTTAATAAATAAATAACAAATTAGCATTTCTGATGCAGGATCTCTTAGCCTTGAATATTTTCAAAAGACTTAAAAATTCAAAAATGTGTAAACTAAAAGGTTTACCATTGAATTTACCCTGTACAGTTTTAGATGGTTTCCCTGACCCAATAAGGAATTAAGACAATTTACTCCCTATTTAGAAACATTTAAAAATACGAGGCAAGGCCAAGAAAGCAAAGCAAAACAGGGGCCCCTGATCTTCTTGAGACCCTGCATGGTCTGGAGGCCCCCCCACCAGCTTTCCTGTTGCATTGCCTCCTATCTTGCCTATGGGACTTTTTCTTTTTGGGATGGAGTTTTGCTTTTGTTTCCCAGGATAGAGTGCAATGGCACAATCTCAACTCACTGCAACCTTCGCCTCCTGGGTTCAAGCAATTCTCCTGTCTCACCCTCCTTTGTAGCGGGGATTACAAGTGTGCACCACCATGGCTGGCTATTTATTTATTTAGTCTTTTTAGTAGAGACGTAGTTTCACCATGTTGCCCATGGGACATTTGAAAATCTCTATCACTGAGAGTTGAGGTGACCACACCCTTGACTGATGGCACTCCCATGTATTCTCTGCTCCAGCCACAGGTGCCTACTAGTTCTTTGGGCTTGCTGCTCTCTTGACTGCCCAGAGTCCTTCCCCACACTTCACCATAGAAAACCCCACTTTGTCCTCATGACTCCACCAAGGCATCAATTCCTCCAGAAGGTGTCCCTGACTTCCATCATTGTAGACTGGGCCAACTCACCCACTGGCCCCTGAGCTTCATGAGGACAAGGACTCTGTCCCATGTATGGCTCAGCACACTCTTAACAGTGTGCACTAGGGTCTCCCAGCTCCCCTACTTACTAGCCATAGGACCTTGGACAAGTTACTCAACCACTCTGTGCCTCAGTTTCCCCACTTATAATGGGAATGATAATTGTCACTACCTAAGCGTTGTTGGGAGCATTGGAACAGTTGCTACATATAAAGGGCTTGGAATGGTGACTGGCATATGGTAGGAGCTCAGTACATGAGGTTCCATATGTGCAGTTTTGCCTGTAGCATGCAGCACTCATTTGTTACATGTCAGTGAGATTCTGTGGAATGAGTGGTGAACCAGGTATCTCTGGTCCCTGCTCTCTTGCAGCTGATCTTCAAGGCAAAGTGGATGGACATCAAACAAGAAAATCCTTAAATTAACAATATGTTTTCAGATAGTTGTCCAGGGCTCTGAGGAACATAAAATAGGGTGAGAAGATGGAGAGTGATGGTGCCTTTAGACAGGGTGGCCAGCAACGGTCTCCTGGGAGATGTGGCATTTGAGCCTAGACTTGAGCCTTAAGGGGGCAGGAGGCCTTAAAGATGGATGAAATACACAATGGCCAGCCGTGGAAGGAGCCAAGGAAAGAGTGCTCCAGGCAGAGGTTTCATAAGTGCAAAGGCTCCGAGGCAGGAATGAGTTTGCACAGCTGAGGACAGCTGGAAGTGAAGGAAGATGAGTTCAAGATGTTAGCAGGGCCAGACCCAGAGATTACTCCGTAAATCACAAGTGAATAAGTGAATGAATGAATGATTATAGGGATGAGGTTCAGCCTATAACTATAGCTTGTAACTGTGACTAGGTAGACCTATTGGTTGGAAAATAACTTTTCAATGTTTGCATAGAGGAAGTTGCTTATTTGTTCTGTCATTGACAGTTGTTTGTGGTGTAGCCATATTTTTGAGTTTGTGCTGGGTACTGGGATCTCTGTCCTCTACGGGTACCTAGTTCACTGAAGGTAAATAAGGCAAGTGGGTGTCATTGATCTCATCTCCATCTGCCTGATAGTTCTACCTCTCCAACCTCACATGGACTCCGGGTAAAATGGAGCCCAGAGTCCTTAGCAAGGAGCTTAGGTCACAGCAACTTGAGACAGAGCTGGGACTGGACTGTTCTCGCTGGGAAAGGTAGTGATCCACCCCTTAACTGATCCAAGGAGGCCCCACAGAAATGAAGTATTAAGGTCCTGCAGCCCACTAGTGACAGGTTGAGGATAAGACCCCAGGTTTCTGACCACAAGTTGGAAGGTGGTGTGTGGGTACATTTAGCAGATAAGAAGAAGAAACCTTTAGCCCGGAAGATGAGGTTCCAAAATACTTTCAGTGGGGAGTAGACCTTAAGCATGGATGAAATACACAGTGGCCAGCAGAATTTCATCACTAGGACACCAGGAAGGGCCTTCTGTCCCCCAAACCTCCCCCCAACCCAGCTTACTGGTTTCAAAAAGTTCACTACTGGGGATTCATTTCTCTTAGTCACATGAAATAAGGATATAACTTTTATTCCCAAGGATGTTTGCTGAAGCATCAGAGACAGGAATAAAAACCGCAGGCTGGAGAAAGCAGGGAGAGGGTTGTGAAGAAGACAGTCACCCCATGTAGTATCCTGCAGCCATTAAAAATTCTCATATGGGGAGATAAGCTCATAGAATATGCTAAGTGAGGGGTGCAGAATGCAGAAATCTCTCACAGCATGTTCACAACCATGAACCAAAACAAAAATAAACACACACAGAAAAGTGAAAGAAGGGTCTGGAACTATGGGGCTTCTCCTGCTCTTCTTTTGTATTTTCTAAAAAGATCATGCAAATATTTCAGCTCAACAAATGTTTATCTTGTGTACTTGCTAACTGTCCACTTACTTCCAAATAGAAGAAATGATGAAGTTTAGTAAACCATGTCAGGACATTCACTATTCATTCTTCCAACTTTTGGGAAGATGGCATTATGAATTTCCCCAGTGGCAATAATAATTATTAATACATCGCCAGCAATGTTACAGAGCGACCCCACATGCCTGGCACTGTGCTAGGCATTTTCCCTTTGGAGAAACTGGCCTTGCCTGGGACTTCAGACTGAGGGATTTGGAGTCAGCCTATTTTTAGTTTCAATTCCTGCCCTGCCATTTCCCAACGGTGTAATTCTCTGTGCCTCTGTTTTCTCATCTGTAAAATGGGCGTATAAATTGGGCCTGGCTCACAAGGTTGCAGTGAGGACTAAATGATAATATACGTATAAAGTGCGTAGAGCAGTGCCTGGCACACAATAACTTGATAAATGTTGACTGTTGTTATTTACATATCCTTACGCATCTAAGCCTTACCATGACCTCATGGGAGAAGGTGGTGTCATTGAAATGACTGGCTCAGGGCTACATGGTCACTGTGCAGAGGAGCTAGAGAGTGTCCCATGTGTACATGGCCCACTGCTTTCCTGCCCAGGAGTCCCAGGCTTAGCATAATAGGTCTAGCTGGTGGGGGCTGCAGGCTTGACCCTCTCTGACCCATCTAGTCTGCTCTGGTATCTTCTATATTTCAACTGTGCCCTGCCCATCAGAAAGGAGAGCAGCTACCAGGGTCTAGGTGTGAGTCTCAGGGCTGTGTGACCCTAAGTGGCTGGCAGAGCCACTCTCGGCCTCACCCTGTACATCCATAAAGAAGGACTGGGGCATCATATGATTCACTGGTTTCATTCTATGGTGTCAGGAAGGAGCACTGACCTGGGAGTCAGGAGCCCAGTTCCAGCTCTGGTTCTGCTCCCTCTGCCCTCCGTTTTGGGCCCCAGCTTTCTTGTCTGTCAAATGGGAATGGGACAAGATGGTCCCTGAGCTGCTGTCTAGAGTCGATAATGGAATTCTGTATGAATTCCAAGGAGGAGAGTAGCCACAAATGTATCCGCTCCACACTGATGGGGCTCTTTCTCCGGCAAGCTTCACTTACTCTGCCATTTCTCCAGTGTATTTTATCAGACCCACCTCCTCTGAGCCAAAGAAAAGAGTAGGGGAAGAATGAAACAAACTCACAGCTCTGTTTATTCAGGCTCATCAGAGAGATCACTTGCCCAAGGGCCTGTGGCAGGTCCTCTGAAATTTGATGAAGGCTGTGTCACTTTGGTCCTCCGGGAAGCAGATGTGAAAATGGAGGTGTAAGTGTAAGAGATTTATGGAGAAAACACCTGTGAGAATTGGAGGAGAGCCTTCAGAGAGGGATGCAGTCTGACACTGTGAAAGGCAAGGTGGAATAAAGGAAGAATGGGGAAGAGGAGCCTCAGGCCATGGTGCAGGTCTA